GGATTTTTGAAAATTTATTTTATTGCATTTAATTTTTCAAGAAGTTTTTATATATTCCCCCTTATTAATAAGATCTTATACATACCTTCTCATCAACAAAATTTTTCTCTAATTTATTCCTATTAATTTTAAAAAAAATATATTTTTACTAAATTTTTTTTCTAATTTATTTGCCCATGTTGAAGTAATTTTTTTTTTCTTTTTTAAATATATCAATACTTAAATATTTTTATCATACATTTTTATAGTTTTTTAACCCAATATCTTTAGAAATGTGGCATATTATGTACCTTTTTTCCAAATTGCCGGACCGAAATAATTTTTAATATGTCCCTAAAATTTTTTTCTTGCATCCTTTTCAAATATTATTTTTTCTTACGTACCCATTAAATAATTTATTTTCAAATTTTTCACATCAATATAATATCCATTAAGTGTTCTTCATTATTTTTTTTCCACTAAACTATATACATAACATAAGAGAATAATAAATTAGGTTAAATTTAAACTTTTATGAAAATTCTACTATTACGTAGAAAAGACGTTCTAATTATGTAATATTATTAAGAGTTGATAAGGCTTTTCACGTTTGTAATTTACAAACTCCTGAATTTAAATTCTAACTCCGTCACTGTATTTATGCCAATAACTCAAAAATTTTGTCAATCAACAACCCCTGTACTAGGAAAATACTTGTGAAGTTAAAAGCAAAAAAAAAAAAAAAAAGTTCTTTTTTTTATTAGAATCAGGTTTACGTCGTGGATCGTGATCCGTGTGACTACTCTGATACTTGAAAGTAACAGAGAAACGAACACGTTCATTGCGGCGTTGTTAGGGGAAAGGAAGCAGATTAACATGCTCATCACACTGAGAGGAATGATTTTTATTAGAATCAGCTGCATATTTTTTTATTTTTTATTTATGTTTTTATGTTTTTATTTATGTTTTACTTTACAAGTCCACACCATGCATCCTAATTAATCAAATTAGTGGTGACACAATTTTTTATTATAGTATTTTTTTCGTAATAATTTAAATTTAATTATTTTAATTGTAATATTTTATCTCATATAAATTTACTTTTTATTCACGTCCTCAAACAAAAGTTAATGACGTGGAAGCTTATTTAAAAATGTAAACCTGATTCAGAAAGTGATTAAACAATTTACAGTTTCAAATTTGATTTTAAATCCAAAATACTTAGGTATTTCTAAACAAACCCCATTATTTTAAGCAAATTGAGTTTTTAAGGAGTGAGGCAAACTTTGTAAAATACAATCACTGTTAAAATTAACATTAAAAGTCAGCCTCCAGTGTCCATAGGGTTTACATTTATGCATACATAAATAAGTACAGAAATGTAAATAACTGACATCAACCACAGTCTAGTAAAATTTAGGGTTTACAATCAAAAGGGTTTATACATGCCTTAAATGAGTACAATAATGAAGAAAACACTTCACTGTTTCTTTTTTCTAGAACCGAGTTCCTCACCTGTTCCATGCTACTTCTAGCGTCACTTGGGAGGGGTTAAATATACATTTGAAACATAGAAAAAGTGAGCGAAAGACCCAGCATGATAAAATTTATAAAACCGAGTAAATAAATGAATAAATGAAAATACAGGCCCGAGAAAATCATTCGGAACCAAACAACCTTTTTCTGAAAGGTAAATAAACTGAAATTCCAGATTATAGGCAACCAGCAAGTAATTTAATGATAAATTACTTACGACCAAATGCAAGGCCTTATCACCACTGTAGTGGCCCGTCCGGCTTTTGGGTTCTACCTCTAAGGATACAATCTTCATATCCTGTCTAGACCATCAGCGGGCTTACCAGTTCGCAAGATATCTTATCTTAAGAAAATGTCATTAAAACTTGAAATCAGTTCATTATGAGATCAATAGCAATAATCAAGCTATTGTCTTTAAACAAGTTTCTTTATCAAATCTGTGGCTAACTTCTCGTTACCCTAGCCTCTGTTTTCCTTAAAATTTTAATACTCGATCTTCTCCACTAACTTTATTATAAAAGTAATATTTTAGGATATAATTCTCATTCTTAAAACAAATTAAGCTCAATCGTGTATAATTATTTTTTATTAGTGTGCCTTGACTCAATCCAAGTTTTACAAACGACTTTATAATTCAGTTTAGGGGTTCTTTAAACTTGAAATCCAAATCATTGGCTTGGTTTCCCTATTAAATTTTGGCTTAAAAATAAGTTTTTAAATAAATTTTGGCAACATACCGATAGAAATAAAGAAAATGCCAAACTTGCTATTTAAGTTCAATTTCAAAATAAATTTTTCAGATATCATCAAAACCAGTTTCTAATTAATTCAATAAGTCCAATAACTGAAAACTCCTAAATTCAATTAAATTCCAACAACAATTGTTCAAATCTAAACTCAATCTCAAAATTTATCAAATCTAACTAAAATTACAAATCCTTAAGTCAATAATTCAAATTAAAGTGTGAGTTTCCAAGAAATTCTTACCTCAAAGTGATTGAAGGTTTTCCCTCTATTTCTATCGTTTTTTTCCTTCTTCTTCCATGCTTCGGCAGGGACACCAAGAGAGAGAGAGAGAGAACCCAGAGAGAGATAGCAAGGGAGAGAGAAGCCGGCGAGAGATGGAGAGAGAGAGGTGGCCGGCCGGAGTGAAGGGGAAAGGGAGGAAGGCCGGCGGTGGAGAAACAGAGGAGAGACATAAGAGAAAGAGAAAGAAAAAGAACGAGTGTGTGTGTGTGTGTGTGTGTCTGAAGGGAACCTACGAGAAGGGAAATTAAAGAAAGAAAAGAAGAAAAGGGAAAAGAGAAAAGGGAAAAGAAGAAAAAAGAAAAGAAAAAAGGAAAATACATTAAAATTAAGTGTATTTTTTAAAAATTTTTAGGGTGAAAATTGAAAAACTGAAAGTAATTTATAAGTCCTTAAAATAACTTAAAAACTTAATCTTTAATCATAAGATTAATTAAAAAAATAAGTTTTAGGCATACTAGTATACACAATTAACATAATTAAACCTCTTTAATTCTTGAGGTCATTACAGCTCTACCCCCTTAAGGAATTTCGTCCTCGAAATTAAAGCTTACCTTAAAATGAGAACTGGAGCAGATATTGTTCCTGCATTGTTGCTTCTAGTTCTCATGTTGCTTCCTTAATACCATGGTGTTGCCATAACACCTTCACTAACGGTATCTCACGATGACGTAAACTCTTCATTTTCCGAACAAGAGTCTGAACGGGTGCTTCCTCGTAAGTCGTGTCATAATGAATCAGCACGTCGTACCATTGCACAATGGTTTCCGGGTCGGGTTGACACTTGTGAAGCATGGAAATGTGAAATATGTCGTGCACATGAGACAACTCCGAAGGCAAAGCGAGATGGTAAGCGACAACACCAACTCGTTGCACGATCTGAAATGGACCACTATACCTTGGTGCGAGCTTCCCTTTCACACTGAAACGGGTGATCCTTTTGCGCGGAGAAACCCTTAACAAGACAGAGTCGCCCTCTTGGAACTCTACGGGTCTACGCCTCCTGTCAGCATAGCTTTTCTGATGACAATCTTTCCCTCATAACAACTATCCTTTCGTTGTTTTCTTGGATGTCATCTGGTACGAGAGTGAGTCGATCCTCTAGTTCGAGCCAACAGACTGGCGATCTGCAAGGTCTATCATACAATGCTTCAAATTGTGACATTCCAATGCTAGCCTAGTAGCTATTGTTGTAGGTGAATTCGGCTAGATGGAGATACTTCTTCCAATTTTCACTGAAATCTAGAATGCAAGCACGAAGCATATCCTCCATAATCTGAATGACTCTTTCAAACTGTCTGTCGGTATGAGGATGAAATGCGGTGTTGAAATTCAATTCGGTCCCCATGGCTTCTTAGAAACTTCTCCGGTACTTTGCATTGAAACGAGTGGCGTGATCCAACGTCATGGATAATGGCACTCCATGAAGTCTGATTATGTGCTCCATATACAACTCCGCTAGGATCTTCCGGGAATACGTTGCATGAAACGTATGAAGTGTGCAGACTTCATCAGCCTATCCACCACAACCCAAATAGCATCATGCCACTGTTCAGTCCTCGACAATCCTATTAGAAAATCCATCGTAATGTGTTCCCACTTCCAATCAGGAACAAGAAGAGGTTGCAGTTCTCCAGTGGGTTTTTGATGTTCAGCTTTGACTTAGAGACAAGTCACACATTCTGACACGTATTGGCGAATATCCTTCTTCATACCTCTCCACCAATACTGCCTTTTGAGATCCTGATATATCTTGGTACTCCCAAGATGAATAGCAAACCTCGATTTGTGAGCCTCGTGAAGGACTACCTTCGTTATCTCATCCACCTAAGGAACAACAAGGCGGTTTTTAAAGTAGAGCGTTTCATCTTCTCGAATATTCCACCCATCGAGTTATTCTCCATTCTGAACTCAGGTCCAAACTCCTTGAAGATGCGGATCTTGCCATTGGTTATTGATCTGTTGCATATGAGTTGACGTAGACATATCGTTTCGCTCTTGAAAGTATGTTTTTATTTTTATCAAAACAACGTCGTTTTCAAGAATCAGAAAAATTGACATGTCATTTTGCTGGTGATTTTTTTGGTGTAAATGTAGTGTTTATCAATGATTAACTTTACTATACCATTGATAAATTAAAGTTGATCAGTAATAAATTCAAATTAGTTATTGATAAATCTTAATTTTAAAAATGATAAACTAAATCTCTTTTGATTAATCACTGATAAATTTGAGATAATCACTTATTAAATCGAGTTATTTATTGATTTTTATTAGATTTAAAAGATTAAAAATTAAGAAATTAAAAAATTTATGTTATATTTAAATTGAGATATTATATTTTTTTGTTACACGCGCTTTTTAACACTAATTCAAAACAACATCGTCACATATTATAACAATTTTACAGAAAGGACAACTTGCTAAAATTAGCTAAAATTAGAAGTTCAGGAGGAAAGTTGCTGAAACCACACAATTTATTCACGAGGCAAATGTATAAAATACCCTTTAACATTAAACAATGTGGATTCCTAGGTAAAAACCTGCATCTTTTGAATTTCCTTATTCCCGTACTGCTAAACAAATCTATCGGCTGTAAGAATAACTTATTCACTTTCCAAAAGATAAAAGACTTTTTAGCAAGAATTGGTACATTTCAATATCTATCATCAACGGCAAGCTTTCTAGTGGCCAAGCATTAAGAATATAGCTGCAAGCTCTTTGTTCTCCCCTCTATTAAATAAATTTTGGTGACACAACCTGCAAACTCAAAATGAAGCAGAAAGCCATCCATGAACTCCACAGGAATACAGCTTAGGCCTTTATTCTTGCAGACTCTCCCACAGCATTCTCCATTCTTGTGTACCAGTCTCCGATACGTGTGTGTTCCACCATGTCTCGACCAGACCTCAAATAACGGATTGGTCTCAACACCCCAAAGACCGCAAGGTCACCTAAATTCGGCTTGGAGCCCCCTGACACAAAATATACGAGATGAAATTGGCCAGTAAGACAATAGAAATAACGAGTTTAGGTCCCGTATATATAAACAAGTTTGAACTCATATACGAGACCGTTGACAAAATCATGTTTAATACATTAATGCACTAGGGACAGTTCTCTCTCATGGTCATATATTATTATTATGTTTAAAAGCTAAACCTTTTCTTGTGCTTCAGATTTTATCTTAGTCATTGATTTCTCGCGATAAAAAGATTTGACAGTGGATAGTTCAAGCACTTCTTATAAAATCAGGTACAATTAAACCAAGGTTAAAAAATGCACGCATAAATAGCAGGTCTTATTCAGCACTAGGTGGACCAAAGGATAACAATATTTATCTTCACTATGAGAACACTATTATAAAAATATAAGCAATTTGGGATTTTTAGTTTAATTGGACTAAAAGCAGTACAAAAAAGCTTGACTTCAGAGTAATAGTATAAGTCAAATGTTATGTGACTACATTTTCAATACCGACATGTGCATGAACTCATAAGCATACGTGTGCATATCTAATATCCTAAGACAACTATTTGATTAATCAGTACCGGGGACGGGGGTTGAAAACCTTTCTGCAATACAAAATGCATATACATTGCAACATTAAACTGCATACCTAGAAAATCTCTGCCATCTAGTGCATTTACCCATGTTTCTGCAGCTTCATACAAGGCTGCACGTTCATCCATAATGTTATACTTTTTCTTTAGATTCTTTGACACGAAATACATAGCCGCAGCCCCAGCATATTTTACTGTAATCTTTTCTGTAAAGCTAAAATTACCTGCAGTTACAGAGTCAGCATTCAAATAATTAAAATAAAACAGAATGCTTAATTTGGTTTTGCAGCATAATGAAGGACATCGAGTGCCTTTTATCTTGATCAGTAAAACTACTATAAGGAAGATTCAATGATATGGAAGAAGCAGTTAAAAAATTTTATTTCACCCTTGAACAATGCTTTGGAGTCAAGAGAAACACTTAGACCAAACTGTGAGATTTCTTCGACATGAAAGATTCAGCATTGAAGAATCAAAGAGAGAAAGCTTTTACAATTCACTGGAAAGGGTAAAAGTCATAAGAAGACCAACTGGCGAAGAGTAAAAAATGCCACGTGCACTTCACATGTAATTAGTGGCAATTGGCAAAAGTGCAATTTCAACAAGGGTAAAAGCAAGTTAAACTTAAAACTTTTTAAGTAACTAGATGATACTACATGCTTCACGCATACCATTGCTTGTAATATAGTCAAATGACTCGAGGGCCTCTGATGTATTCCGATAAATGTTGGGTGATAAGACATGCACCAAGTGATTATCGACCCATCTATTAGCACAAAATCAGAAAATAATTTGTCAGGATTGGATCAAATGATATATTGATCATTTTAAAAGTTAGTAAAAGGTGCATAATGATTCAAGTTGTAACAATCTTCTTAAAAATTAGAAGCTTGTAAAGGTTTATCCCTTCTTTACTACAGATTAAAGAAATTAATTTAGCAATCTGATAAAAAGACAAAGCAAGGAAGGACTGACCAGGGTTCATCTGACAAAAAACAACAAAACCAATCAAACAACGTCCTCCCTTACCTAAAAACAGTAAACAGAGAGGTTATCCCAAAACTTTTTTGCTATAGATGGCCGGAAGTTGTCCTAAAAAACTCCATCCTGAAATTTCTAAATGTTTCCAGGGTTTTTCTCCATCATAATGCCCAAAACTAGCTAAAACTGAACTCCACATAAACTCGACTCTCATTTGGAATGTGCACCAACAGATGGAGCCTTCTTAAATAGAAAAAGACAAGCACATGGAAGGAATCACCCAAGAATTAAATTCATGGCCATTTGACGGCTGCGGATATTTTTAATGAAGATTTAATCACGGCTGCAGATATTCATGCCTGTGGATATTTTTTAATGAAGATATATTGATTGGTAGGAGTGTAAGAGTTGCAGACGGCTTTGGAATGTTTATGTAGCAACTCTCACTGTTACCTGTGCTCTTTTAGCAGTTGGCTAGAGAGGAACAATCGAATTTTTTAGGACATAAAAAGGCAACGTTAACGAAGTTTAGGATTAGAATTCACTTCTGGGTGGCTTTATGGTCTTCTCATGTTAAAGGCCTTAATGTCTTTTCTTTTTCGGATTTGTTAAGGGGATGTCCATAAGTAATTTCATGCTTTTAGGACTGTTGTTTTTTTTTGTTTTTCTTGTCTGGTGGACTCCTCCCCTTTTGTACCTTTTTTCCCTTTTTTTAATATATTCTCTCGTTTCTTATAAAATAATAATAATAATAATAACAATAAGAATAAATTCATGACCACTTTCTCGCAATGAATGGACAAATTTGTTTAGTAGATGGCATGTAAAAGTGATGACGAATAAGAGTGGACTATGGGAAAATAAATAGTAGAAAATAAATTTAGTTTGAGTAGGATTGATTTTTATTTGATTTTTCCTTAATTTGTATCATTTTATGCATTTAATTAGTTTCCGGTTTTGATTATGTAATTAGCCTATAAATTGGCTACTTTGTTAGAGGAAAAACAGACTATGAATGAATATTGAAAAGATTTATCAAATTGTTTCTCCCTCTCATGTTCTTTTCTCTTCCTCATACTTCTCGTGATTCTCACAATTTCTCTTCTATTTCTCTCTCCTTTCCTCTGATTTCTCTTCTTTCTCTCTCCACTGCCCTGTTCTCTCTACCTTTCTAGTTCTGCATCAGTTTGATATCAGAGACTGTTCATTTCCTCTGACCAAAGAAGTTAAGTTCTCAAGCCATATTCCCTTCTTGCCGCTGCCAAACAAATCCTTCAATCTCTCAGACAATAATAATAATAATAATAAAAAAAAAAAAATAACAACAACAACAAGCCTTAATCCCAACTTAATTGGGGTCGGCTATATGGATTTCACTTTTCCACACGGCTCTGTTCGAAATTATACTTTCCTGAATGCCTAGATCTAAATGTCTTTCCTAACGACTTCGGTCCACGTAATTCTTGGTCAACCCCTCCCTCTCCTAGTCTTAGGTATAAGAATGTCTTCTTAAGCACGAACTGGTACTTCTAGCGGTCTATGTTGGATATGCCCAAACCACCTCAAGCGGCCTTCGCGCACTCATCTTCTAATGGTGCTACACCTTTACTACGAATAACTTCATTCCTTGCGATTCATTCTCGTATGGCCACTCATACATCTTAACATACGCATTTCTGCCATACTCATCTTAGATATATGTTGTCTCTTAATGGCCCAACATTCACTACCATATAACATAGCTGGACGGATTACAGTCCTATAGAACTTTCCTTTCAACTTAATAGGCATCTTGCCATCACATAAACCTCCCGTAGCATTCTTCCACTTAACCCACCCTGCCTTAATCCTATGTTGAATATCCTCTTCTATATCTCCTTCGTACTGCACTATAGACCCAAGGTACCTAAACTTCCTAGAAGCCACAATCTCCACACCATCTAAAGAAATTCCATCACTTTGATTACTTGAGGTACTAAACCTACAATGCATGTATTCAGTTTTCGTCCTACTTAACTTAAATCCCTTCGTCTCGGGAGTCGGTCTCCACAGTTCTAACTTTCGGTTAACTCCTTCCCTATGTTCATCAACTAAAACTATATCATCCGCAAAAAGCATACACCGAGGAAATCTATCTTGAATTTATCTTGTCAGCTCATCTATCACGATAGTGAAAAGATAAGGACTAAGAGCAGATCCTTAATGAAGGCCGATCCGAATGGGGAACTATGTCATGTAGCCTCCAGCAGTTCTCAAACTCGTGACCACCCCATCGTACATGTCCTTAATTACCTTAATATACCTCATATGCCTTTTCTAAATCTATAAAGACCATATGTAGGTCCGTCTTGGCTTCTCTGTTCCTTTCCATCAGCATCCTAAAAAGAAAAATGGCTTCCGTGGTTGATCTGCCTAGCATGAAGCCAAATTGGTTACCTGAGATGGTAGTTGTGGCTCTTAATCTCCTTTCAATAACTCTCTCAAAGTTTCATAGTGTGACATATTAAACTTTATGCCCTTATAATTGTTACAATTCGGCACATCTCCTTTATTCTTGAAGATGGGGACAAGAATACTTTTCCTCCATACATCATGCATATGCTTCTTCTTTAGTATCTCATTAAAAAGCTTAGTGAGCCACACAATTCCAGCATCTCCTAACGCCATCCAAACCTCTATTGGAATATCATATGGCTCACATGTCTTTCCCTTTTTCTTCTTCCATAGTGCAGTTTTAACTTCCGAGACTCTGATTCCTCTTGTATACATCACATTAGGTTCTCCTTGTGACCTAAGATTGTCAAACTCTATCGCATGATCATCATTATAAAGCTTCTCAAAGTAACTTTATAAAGCTTCTCAAAGTAACTCCTCCACCTTTCCCTAATATCTTTATCTCTTGTCAGAATCTGATCCGTATCATCCTTACAAAAAAAGAAAAGACCTTTCATTCTTCAACAATATGTTTCATTGCTTACCCTAGCCACAACATGAATTTTCACAAACATTATCACTCTCATCACTATTATCATGACCCTTATTATGATCCTCGCCCAACGCAACCTCATGTTATTCTTTATGAACAATCTTATTCTTATTATGATGAATTTCAATTTCATTATGAGGATTTACAAGAGCAAAAAGAAGATTATGTGCACGTAATAGAGTACTGTTGGAAATTAAGGATATCGTGATATTTTATTCTCCTAACTTTTCAAATTGTCTAAATCTTTTAGATTGATGTTGTGTAGATTTGACTTTACCAAAATCTTGGGATTTTAGTTAGAGATCTCACTGATTTAGTTTCATGTTTTCTAGGAGATTTAGTTTCCATTTTTTCCTTGTAATCTGCCCTGTAATAGCTGACATATTCGTCTATCATGCTTTAGGCTCTTTTTTTTTTTGTTCCTTCTTTGGCCCTTCATCGCCATTGTTGAGTCTAGTTTTCTTGGCCTTTATCGCCATATTTCATATCTGGCCTTCATTGCCGGAAATAATCCAATTTCTCATTCATCAGAAACACCTTTCTCTCTTATTTTTCTGAAACACCATGACAACTCCAGAGACCAAGTCCAAAACTAAATTTGTTCAAGATGAAGAAGTCAATTCCAATCAAGTGACAGGCGATCTGCAAAATGTCAGGGCTACATACAGGCTCAACGGAAAAAATTATTTGAAACGGTCCCAATTTGTTCGGACTTATTTGAAGGGAAAAAGAAGACTTAGTCACCTTCTTGGGACCGGACCAAAGTCAACAGACCCAGGCTTTGAGGCATGGGACGAAGCCCATTCGATGGTTATGTCATGGTTGTGGGATTCAATGGATCCTAAAATCAGCGATACCATCATGTTTTTTACTTTTGCAAAGGCAATCTGGGATTCAATCCGACGAACTTACTCAAAAACTCGTGATGCAGCAGATGTGCACGAGATTGAGGAAAAAGTGGGGCCGACCAAACAAGGGAGCAAATATGTGACCGAGTATGCAAATTTGCTGCAACATTTATGGCAGGCACTTGATCATTATCGGGTCATTGAGATGAAATGCCCGGAAGATGCCGCAACCTTGATAAGATTAAGGACCGAGTGCATGATTTCCTCGTTGGACTTAATTCTGAATTTGATCAGGTGAGGGTTCAAACTCTTAGAAAGGATGAGACGCCATCATTGGAGGAAACAATTTCCTTAATTCAGGCAAAAGAAAGTCGAAGAGGTGTTATGCTTGAACCTCAGGTTTTGGAAGGATCTGCAATGATGGCAGCAAACTCGGAACCACCACTCCAAATTCAAGAGAGTGGAAAGGCGGAATTGTCAAGATCTTTAGGACGAGACAACAAGAACAATCTCTGGTGCACCTAATGCATGAACCCGAGGCACACTAGAGAGAAATGCTGGAAGTTGAATGGTAAACCACCAAGTAGGGAATGGCATCAACGAGGAGGACAGCCAAGGAACTCAGGCCAAGCCAATTTCACTATGAACCAGCCGAGTCAAAGCCAAGCCAACCTCAACATGAACCAGTCGAGCCAAGAAGGTTATCAAAAACAAGGCGAACTCTGTAAGGACGAGGTTGAGAAGATTAGAGGGCTTCTCGGGTCTCTGAAAAAACCTAGTGGTGTCGCTCTCTTGCACTTTCAGGTTAGTTCTCAATTTCTCAAGGATTAAATGACTCAGATGAATTTATTAGAGACTTGTGGATTATCGACTTAGGAGCCACTGATCACATGACTCACTCTTCACTAAAATTCACCACTTATACACCTTGTCCAAGTAACCGAAAAATAG